TGCAGTAATATTAGTTTAATATAAACTTTGTTAATCAGGCTCATTGTCCACTCCTTATCAGACATCAGTGTGTTACTGACTGATTGTAAATCCACTATATGATCTACTGCATGCTCCAGTGTTTGAGCTGGTTTAAATTGGGCTAAACCTGCAGCAATGCTGTTTTTCAGCAGGGAGACAGGCCTGAAACACAAGGTCACAGCAGCACAGAGAGACATGTAGTTCTGAGTATTTGCTGCTGGTAGCAGAAAGAGTTTGTGAACACTATTCATCAGGAAGAGGAAACCTGTTGCTGAGCACTTCACCGGTGTAACTGTCTGAGAACATAAAACACGATCGGTTTAACAGAGACACATGTCATCTGAGGCCAAGAGCAGTGAATGCCATGCTCTCACTAACCAGACTATCTTTAAAGATATGATGAAATATATCAGTACCACTGAAGAAATGCAAATGAGCTGATGAATTATGAATGCAGGAGCAGTATGGGGTAGAATGGGTGACTAAAGCAACTTAAACACCTCGTTTCATGACAAGTCATCTGTAGATGGTGTCAGACATAGATGTAGAAAGGGGAATAAAGTCATAACAATATATCAGACAGGCACATCCTCAGCCCATCAGGCAGCAGGAGAGCGGTGGTGAATGCTGGAGTGGGTCTAGTTCAGTCAACACATTGGCCTCAGTTCAGTATGAATATCACTGTTGAGGACGATCAGCTGTAACTCCTCCAACACGAGTTACTCGAGCAGCGTCTGTCACTCTATTAACACTAAAATCAAACAACAGGAAGAGCTAGATAAGCTTATAGACATGTCTAAACCTGCTACATGTATGTTAGACCCTATTCCAACAAAATGACTGAAAGAATTGCTACCTGTCATAGGAGAACCTCCTCTTAACCTCCTTAACTCTTCTTATCTTTAGGCCATGTTCCAAACCCTTTCAAGCTAGCTGTTATTAAGCCTATTATTAAGAAACCACAACTGGATTGCAGTAATTATGGGCCTATTTCAGATCCTCCATTTATGTCTTAAATACTACAACAAGATGTTTCTGCCCAATTCTGCTCCTTTTAATAGGTGACTCGGCGTTTCAATCAGGACTCAGTGTTTCAGTCAGGACTCGGTGTTTCAGTCAGGACTCGGCGTTTCAATCAGGACTCAGCGTTTCAATCAGGACTCAGTATTTCAGTCAGGACTCTGTGTTTCAGTCAGGACTCTGTGTTTCAGTCAGGACTCGCCGTTTCAGTCAGGACTCTGTGTTTCAGTCAGGACTCGCCGTTTCAGTCAGGACTCTGTGTTTCAGTCAGGACTCGGCGTTTCAATCAGGACTCAGTATTTCAGTCAGGACTCTGTGTTTCAGTCAGGACTCGGCGTTTCAGTCAGGACTCTGTGTTTCAGTCAGGACTCGGCGTTTCAATCAGGACTCAGTATTTCAGTCAGGACTCTGTGTTTCAGTCAGGACTCAGTGTTTCAGTCAGGACTCGATGTTTCAGTCAGGACTCGATGTTTCAGTCAGGACTCTGTGCTTCAGTCAGGACTCTGTGTTTCAGTCAGGACTCAGTGTTTCAGTCAGGACTCGATGTTTCAGTCAGGACTCGATGTTTCAGTCAGGACTCGGTGTTTCAGTCAGGACTCAGTGTTTCAGTCAGGACTCGGTGTTTCAGTCAGGACTCGGACTCAGTGTTTCAGTCAGGACTCGATGTTTCAGTCAGGACTCTGTGTTTCAGTCAGTACTCAGTGTTTCAGTCAGGACTCGGTGTTTCAGTCAGGACTCGATGTTTCAGTCAGGACTCTGTGTTTCAGTCAGTACTCAGTGTTTCAGTCAGGACTCGGTGTTTCAGTCAGGACTCGGTGTTTCAGTCAGGACTCGGTGTTTCAGTCAGGACTCGGACTCAGTGTTTCAGTCAGGACTCGGTGTTTCAGTCAGGACTCGGTGTTTCAGTCAGGACTCGATGTTTCAGTCAGGACTCGGCGTTTCAGTCAGGACTCGGCGTTTCAGTCAGGACTCGGCGTTTCAGTCAGGACTCTGCGTTTCTGTCAGGACTCGGCGTTTCAGTCAGGACTCGGCGTTTCAGTCAGGACTCGGCGTTTCAGTCAGGACTCTGCGTTTCAGTCAGGACTCGGTGTTTCAGTCAGGACTCGGACTCAGTGTTTCAGTCAGGACTCGGTGTTTCAGTCAGGACTCGGTGTTTCAGTCAGGACTCGATGTTTCAGTCAGGACTCGGCGTTTCAGTCAGGACTCGGCGTTTCAGTCAGGACTCGGCGTTTCAGTCAGGACTCGGCGTTTCAGTCAGGACTCTGCGTTTCTGTCAGGACTCGGCGTTTCAGTCAGGACTCGGCGTTTCAGTCAGGACTCGGTGTTTCAGTCAGGACTCTGCGTTTCAGTCAGGACTCGGTGTTTCAGTCAGGACTCGATGTTTCAGTCAGGACTCGGCGTTTCAGTCAGGACTCGGCGTTTCAGTCAGGACTCGGCGTTTCAGTCAGGACTCGGTGTTTCAGTCAGGACTCGGTGTTTCAGTCAGGACTCGGCGTTTCAGTCAGGACTCGGCGTTTCAGTCAGGACTCGGCGTTTCAGTCAGGACTCGGCGTTTCAGTCAGGACTCGGTGTTTCAGTCAGGACTCGGCGTTTCAGTCAGGACTCGGTGTTTCAGTCAGGACTCGGCGTTTCAGTCAGGACTCGGTGTTTCAGTCAGGACTTGATGTCCTTCCAGCTGCAACCCATCATTGGGAAACACCCATACACATACGCGCACACACACACACACACACACTCATACGCAACAGCCAGTGTAGTTGATCAGTTCCCCTATACCGCATGTGTTTGGACTGTGGGGGAAACTGGAGCACTTGGAGGAAACCTGGAAATGCCAAATGACCCAGCAGTGTCAACAAATGTAGATTTGCATATCTGCACACCCTGTTCACTCAGAGAAATCCATCATTCACATGCAGCGAGACCTGAGAGAGGGACAGCAGGCAAACTCATCAACCTGACCTTCTTTCTGAAAGCTCAACCCGTGGCCTTGTATCCACAATTGTTTTTGAAAAGGGCTTCTGCCAAAAATGCTGAATCTTTTCTAAATCCTGTATCAATGCATTTGCTTTTGCTCATTGGAGTAAGATATGGTTTAAAACTACTTTAGCCACATAAAGCTGATGTAGGCTGTGATCTTTATGGGACGACCTTTATGTACACAGAAGTGTTGTTCAGCAACTGAAAACTCAGCAAAGCATTTTCAGTTTAATAAGGTTTCTTTTACATCAGAGATATTGTAATTGAGTCAAAATATAGTCAGTCAAGTAGACCCAAGCATTCGAGTGTAAAACGTGATGAAGAGATGAAAAGCCATTAAAGAAAGCAGTGACAGGTCATTATGCAGTTAGTGTCAGTCTTTGTAAACTACGTGTAATGTAGAAGGATGACAGGATATTTCTGTTTTAGCACTCCTTTTACTGATTTTTATTTAGTTGAATAAAAAAAAGTAAATAGCGCTATTCCTGAGATGCGCTCCTACATTTACCATGCTACTCTGGCATGTCAGTATGGCTCAGCTGCAGAGTTTCAGCTTTAAGGAAACACTCACATTTTAGTCGCTTACATTAGACAAAGTGCATTTCTCCACCAAGACGTCAGCAGAGGCCAGCAATCACTGCATGCAGGAAATATTGCAGCAAATAATTACAAAAAAGAAAATAATTACAAAAATTTTGTATTAGGAATTGCAGTGTCAAAGTACTAGAAGTTTTCTAACTGGCGAATGACATGATCTAGCATTAAAAGGTTGTCTATGGTCATCTATTCAGTGCACATTCATGACTTCAGGAGGCGTGGCTTTGGACCGCAGGGAGGGCTTTAAATATTCCAGCTCCTGTTCATCTAACCAACCTTCAGTCTTCCTACAATCCAACCTGCTCTTGAAGATCTCTACACTCAGAGATTCTGCTAGTACACAGAAAAGCAGAGTCCACTAAAGGAGGTCGAGCCTTCTCATTTATAGCTCGTATGCAAAAAACAAAAAAACAATTATGAACAGCAGCTACACTGATTATTATTGTCTTTGTTCTCCATTTCCACCTGGGGATGCCTGTCCTGGTGTATTATTTGTTTAGGAACGACACTCTATATACTGTAAAAGTGCAGGTAACTGTGTTTATATACTGCCCACCACTTACACAAGCGCTTCACCTCTCTGATTTTGACTGTAATGTATTCATGTGCACATGTTGTGAAGCTGCTCTGGAGCAATAAATACTGTAATATAGTGCCATACTGATGAAGCTGAATTGGATGAATAAAGTAATGAGAGATTTCACAAACTCAGGACACACAGCTCATGACACAAGATAAACAGCACAGTCAGATGAACATGCCAGAGGGACATTTGTCCATTATACAGTCCTTTAAAAATACTGTGTAAATACAGGCGATTTAGCTCACCTCGAGATAAAGCTGTCAGACTTCACTAATATGAAGCAGATGGAGGCTAATTACCAAACAAATCAGGACTGTTTAATGAAGTGATGGGTGGCGTTCTCATCTCTGCGATTCCTCATAATCAAGACTCGTGACAGCCGTCATCTTCATCAAGAAATCTGGAGGAAAGCTGTCATATTTCCCCGGGACCATGAGGAGAGAGCAGGCTAACACTGTTCAGCATCTACAGTAATCTGGCACTCGCTGCTCTCAGGTCTTCACACATTTAACAATACATCAGAATCATTTAGAGTCAGCGACCCCGAGCAAAAGAGCCAACCGCTCCATCATCCTCCTCTGACACACACAGACACACTCTCCTCTGACCGACAGCTGGTTTACTGTGTTATAGTGTGTGTTTGCAGTGTTTATGCAGGCTTAATGCTGCTGCGCTTTAGCACAAACACTCATTATTACCCAAACAAATAACACAATTAGAGTCTGAATCAGAGAGAGAGTGTGTGTGAGAGCAGGGAGATGGAGTAAGCACACACACACACACGTACACACACCCACACACACACACCTCATTAGCACACATATGGAAAAGGAGGGAGGGAGAACGAGAGAGACGGGATTCTTCTTCCCTCACCCTGCCAGCGTTCCTCATATTCCTGATGCAGCAGAAGAGAGAGTGTGTATGTGTGTGTGTGTGTGCGCACTGAAGGAGGAGCAGCAGAAGAGTGTGTGTGTGTGTGTGTGTGTGTGTGCTGATAGAGGAGCAGTGAAGCACAGTCGGATGCCAGCGTCACGCTCAGATCTGACAGACGAGCACACACACACACACACACACAGAAGCCGACCGCATCTGCATTCACAGGACAGAGAGAGAGAAACACACACACACACACACACACACACAGACACGCCGCTGAGGAGAACACCTGCAGATCTGAGGCTGTAACACAACAGTCTGTGTGTTTTGATCTCCTGCGCTTGCTGTAGGTTTGATGAGCGTCTGCAGCCTCCAGCAGCGCTCCTGCACGGATTACAGCTGAGGACACGGAGGAGCTGTGAAGAGACGAGCCGGACCACTGGATAAACAGCGGAGGAACCGTGTGTTGGCTGACACTGCTGATGTGGATTACAGCCTGATCTGCTCCGGTCGAGCACACACACACACACACACACACACATCATGATCTTCAGCTGGTGTGTGTGCGTCTCAGAACAGGCACTGAACGCTGAAGGTGTGTGTCTGGCTGTAGGACACAAGCTAGCGTGCAGCGGTGTTATGGAGCAGTGAGTGTGTGCGCTCAGCATGGTGCCGCCGCCGGCCGCCAGTAAGCCGCACGTGTTCCTGTCGGCCGCCGTCATCATGGGCAGTATGGCGCTGCTGGATGTGTGTCTGGTGCAGCAGAGCCGCGGGCCGCGCCGCATCGGGATCGGCCTGATGGTGAGCGTGGGCGAGCTCTGCTTCCTCATCGTGCTGCGATACGTGGCCGTGTGGGTCGGCGCTGAGGTCAGGACGGCTAAACGCGGATACGCCATGATACTGTGGTTCCTCTACATCTTCGTGCTGGAGATTAAGGTGTACTTCATCTACCAGAACTACAAGGCTGACCGGAAGAGTCTGGACGCTCTGGCCCGGAAGGCGCTGACGCTGCTGCTGTCCGTCTGCGTGCCGCTGCTGTTCCTGGTCCTGGTGGCCGTCGACCACATGCAGTACGTCACGGCGTTCCGCAAGAAGGAGGAGATCCGGAACCGGCTGTTCTGGGTGGTGGTGGACCTGCTGGATGTGCTGGACATCCAGGCCAACCTGTGGGAGCCGCAGAAGAAGGGTCTGCCGCTGTGGGCGGAGGGTCTGATGTTCTTCTACTGCTACATTCTGCTGCTGGTGCTGCCCTGCGTGTGTCTGAGCGAGATCAGCATGCAGGGCATCAATATCAGCCCGCAGAAGATGCTGCTGTACCCCATCCTGAGCCTGGCCTCCATTAACGTGGTCACGCTGTTCATCCGCGGGGGGAACATGCTGCTCTACAGGGACGGCCGCGTCTCCGGAATCCTCATGGCCAAGAACATGCTGGCCATCGTCCTGAAGACCTGCAGCTTCGTGCAGTACCGCAGACAGCTCCAGAGCGCCCCCGCTGGCCTCACGCTGCAACTACAGAAGAACTGTGTGCAGACTGCTCGAAGCGCACACACACCGGCGCAGGAGCACACGCCACTGCCCGAGCTTACCGCCTGCCAACATACGTGACACACGGACACACAGAGAACACACAGAGAACACACACATGAAGACTCTGACAGAGGAATGTGCACGTCTGCTACAATTGGGTTAGCTTCAGTATTTCCTCCGCGCACACACACACACACACACACACACACACACGCACACACACACACACACACACACACACACACACACACACACTGCACACTGCTCCACTTTCTGAATACTCTACATCTTCTGAAAATGAAGGTAATCTGGGTCCAGCTCATTAATACACCACCTTACCTCAAGCAGGAGTTCAAAACACGTGTGTGTGTGTGTGTGTGTGTGTGTGTGTGTGTGTGCGCGAGTGTGTGTGTGTGTGTGTGTGTGTGTGTTATGAGGAGACTGTGTTGATGCGTCTCGTGGGGAGTTTGTTAGTGAATCTCCCACACATGATCTGATCTGTCCCGCACACTCAGAGTTTCCTCATTTATTAAACTCATTCACAGTTCGGGTCATAAGTGGAGTCTAAACTGTCTAAAGAGGAGGACGGTGTTTTTATGTGATGCTCTGATGAAGAACTGTGTGTGTATTTGTACAGTATAGATGTGTGTGATGGTTATGTTGTGTGTTTGTTACAGCATGTTTGGCTCAGGTCAGACACACAGATGTACTGTTGACAGTGGGGATGGAGTATATCTCATGCCCTGACTGCAGTTCTGATTAGGGCTTTCAAATAAACATGTCACATGAGGAAATGTCCTGTACATTAGTCTGCTCTTCTTCATCTGCCGTCCACAGTACTCTCTTTTCTCCAACACCATTGATCTGGAAGTGCTCTGTTAACTTGTTTCCAGAATGAAGCTGGAGCTCGTGTCGTGTTTGATTGTTGAAGATGATGATTTGATGTTGCTGATGGATCAACTGTGAATACTGCACTGCTGTGGAAATAGCCCAGCTAGTGTTGGGATGGAGGAAGCCTGCCTCTGCTCGCTGTGTAACGGGAAAGCAGAATGGTGAAAACTGAAGCGAACACTGATGAAGATGAAGTCCATGAGGAGAGCAACATGATCCTGCACAGCATCTTAAAGTCTACATGATACAGTGATTAGACTTTGATAATAGGGTGTTGCTGAGGAGTGTGTTCGGTTCATTGACTTCACGTTGACCTTCTGCATTGATTTCATTGATAAAGGTTAGGTGTTGGCTGTTTTTATTTCTTCAGCAGCTGTGTGTGTGTGTGTGTGTGTGTGTGTGTGTGTGTGTCCTCTTAATTAACCCCACATCAGCTGGATGTTCAGTGCTGGTAAATATCTCAGACATAATTAGTTTTAATAATGACAAAAATAACCTGAGTCTTCCTATTGGTGATTGATGGAGCTGAACACATAATAGGCGCTGTTATACAGCAGGAATGCAGCAGTCCATTTGTTGTGCTCATTAAAAACCAACATCCAGTGTTGCAGACATTTAATGTGTGAAATCTGCTGTTGACTTTCAGTGATGGAGAATGTGTATTCACAGCATGACGGGATACTTTAATCAGCTGATTACATTCTGCCATGTTCTAATGACCACTAGTTGGATGAGAGCGCCACATTTCCTGATTGAGGGTCATGTGAAGAACTTTAACACGCAGTATAGTATTACACTCAACCCTATTCAGCCCAATATTATTATTGTGGAGATCTGCATTCGGCTGTGAACAGGAGCTGCAGGTCCGACACACGCTCCTCTAAAACAGGAGTGGGCAAACTCGGTCCTGGAGGGCCGGTGTCCTGCATAGTTTAGCTCCAACACTAATCAAACACACCTGAACATGCTAATCAGTGTAATCAAACACACCTGAACATGCTAATCAGTGTAATCAAACACACCTGAACATGCTAATCAGTGTTTTCAAGATCACTAGAAATCTATAAGCAGCTGTGTTTGATTAGAGTTGGAGCTAAACTGTGCAGGACACCGGCCCTCCAGGACCGAGTTTGCCCACCCCTGCTCTAAAAGCTGCTCAGGTCAAAGTTTATTTACTGTGTTTTCTGGAAAAATGAATCCGACTAGGCTGAGTTCTGAAGAATGATACAGTCACTGGGAGTTATAGTTTAGCATAGGAAACACAAATGAAAATGTGTCTAAAGCACCTCAGAATCAGAGTCAGACCCCCGGTGCAGACTCCTGATCCTCTGTAATCGCTCAGATAAAGGCTGCCGTCAGTTCTCCTGGAGTCTGTCTCGTGAACATGAAGTCTTCTGCTGGAAACTCTGCTTTATCCTTCAGTTAGTGAACTGCAGTCGCTGCTTTGATGATTTTACACCACTTTAATATTCACAGCCTCTGGGGAAGGAGAAGAGCTCCTGAAAAACCCAAAGTCATCACAGTTCATCTTGAAAATTGCACAGATAAAGGTTTGGGGATTTCCCCTCAGGGAAGTGTTCTGCTATCTGTATAATCACACTGGGTTAGCTTATGCAAATACCTGGAGTCAAAAGACGGATAAGATCTTGAGGGATTACGCTCACAGTGCCAAGAGTTTACACACACACACACACACACACACACACACACACACACACACACACACACACACACACACACACTCCCCTGAATAGTTCTGCCTGCACCACTTCTCTAACACACTGCATGCGTCGCCATTCAGTTCAGCTGATTTAAAGGGCCATGAAACCCCCTCGTTTCAGCAGGGTGTTTTCACACCTCTTCTTTGGAAAAAGTCAGAAAAGTGGGCGTGTCCAGCTCTGTTTAGGGGGGAGTGTCGGAGGAACTAAAGTGGGAGGGTGTGGGAGTGTCGATTTGGGCACGCGCGAGTTTCAGAGTCAAAATACACACACACACACACATACATACAGGAGAATGTGATGGTGTTTAACCTACATAGACATCTGTAGTCGAATTATTAGCCAAATTATTAAATGGTGGACTTTAACTGCAGTTTGGCTCTTTCATTCAGGGAATTCATTCATGCCCCTCGCGACGCACGAGATATTTGATTCGAGGAGCTGCTCTAAGCGTGTATATTTCATGCAATGTTTTATACCGCATGGCGAATGAGAGAAAAAAACCCTCTGCATTTCCCAGAAACTTAGATGCACACGACAGGTAGCGTCAGAAAGCCGCGCGTGTTATTCCGGTCACTAAATGCGGTAAAAACCCTACACGAGGTTAAAGTTTGGTTGTGGTGCTAACGTGTTTACACTCTGTGCAATAGTTTGTTAGATACGAACAAACTGAATAAACAAAGAGCACTGGTCGCTCACTTACCAAATCTGTAGAGACAGGACAATCACCAGCAACTAGAGCCGCGTCTTTATGAAGAGAATACTACAAACGATTCCAGATCCCAGCGTTTGCAGATGAGAACAGCTCTCAGGTAAACAATAATCCCCCTTAGACACGTAAGTTATTGTTGTCGCGCGTCGCGTACACTGTAATCCACACGTGAGTCTGAGCTCTCACAGAGAGAAAATGAAAACGAAACTTAACTGCAGCAAACTATAAAAGCAACACTTCACGCTTGTTTTGCCAACACAACGTGGCGTCTCTGTTCTGAAAACACGGTGATAGTAATGAATATTAATGAAGTTGCACAATAGAGCGCGCTGATTGGTTTGACCCAAGTCTTACTCATGCATTAATGCAACACACTGTAAGACGTAATAAGACACACTCTGGCACAGACGCCCAGTCTGCACGCTGGAATACACACTATTATGTCATGACCGTGACGCAGCTTCAAAAATTCGTTTCAAACAGGAAGTACGAATTTGCTTGAAATAACGCAAAAACAACCAATTTACACTTTTTAGTGAAATATAGGTGTCCTAATAGTGTTTTTAGCAGTGTGGGACACATATACGACTGTCAACAGCTCAAAAAATGTGTTTTGGTGACCCTTTAAATAAAATAGATATGCAAACATTAAAGATAGATCTAGTGTGAGAGGTGCATTATAGTCTAACAAGGCTGAACATTAATTAATGAATCTAATGAGAGTTCAGTAAGAGACATTAAATAAAACATCAGCAGATTAAATTACAGCGTTGCTGTGGATAATGCCGTTTCCTCAGAGCCGTATGGTGCAGTGAGGTACGGTACTGTTCGCTATTTTACAGTTCGGGTCACCTTCGTCAGGCTTGTGTCGCCACTGCCAAACTTGTAGTAGGCGTCGTGTGGGATAAAGGTGTGGCTGACGTTGATCTTGTTTGAAGAAAATTAAAAGTAAAGCTGCACAGGTCATTCAGATCATATGAGGAGCACTTCTCACAAAACAGATGCTTTATATATTTAAATACTGCGTATAAAGATATTACCAACCAATCTATGAACAAGATTTGATTATATAGTTGCAGATGCCAATGCAAATTACTGTTACTATATTGAATAAAGAGATAAAACGTACATTAGCCAACATCTGAAGAGGATCAAAACATTTCATCAAAGCTAAATTATTCAACCTAAAACTTTTAAGATCCACTTCGAATGCTGACTACTGTATGACATCTCGGCTGTTTCCATTCTCGTGGCTTGTGGACGATTCTCTGTAAGCAATAGTGTTCAGCAGCACCTCTAGCTTAAGCCTTCCGTGTTGTTCTGGTGCTGTTTGGAAAGGGAGCCTGAAAAGGGCGACGATCAAAAAAGCATACTGTACCATACCGTACCGTAGTGAACCGCACCACACCGCTCAGTGGAGACGGGTCATAAGTAAATGCAGCTGATTTCCAGTGGTGTGAAGTGTGAAGTATTGTGAAGTATTGTTCAGCGCTAAGGCATGTCTCTGTGTTAATATTGGACACGGCAGACTCGTGATGCTCCGGGACAGCTGAACTCCACTGATTTGCTTCTGCTCAGTCAGTTTCTCTGCTTCATCTGCTCTCCAACAGCCACATCACCGCTGAAGGGCTTTAGTTTCTTAAACGCGATGTGCTTCTGCTCCAGATTCTGAACAGCTATCTGCATAATGTACGCACACATTTAACGTGCTCTCGCTTGTTTTCAGTTTATTGTTGTGTTTAGTGCTGTAAAGAAATCTGTTCGAGCTGATCTGAGCAGTGGCGAATGCGAGCGATGGAGCACAAGTGCTGTTGCCATAGAAACACACATGCGTTCTAAATCCAGCCATCAGTTTACATGCAACTCCGACAGAGATACACTCTTCATCAGATCCACATCACAAACATGTTCACAACACCACAGATGTATTATTGTGCATCAGGGTCAAAAGGACATTAATCAAGTCCAGTGTGTTTGCAGAGCACATCTCGAATTAGCTTCAGAGAAAAATCACGCTCAAAGCCCAATGATCCTGACAACGGCAATGAGTGTTAGAGAAGACGAGCACAACATTATCCTGAGATATCCTCCAGACGGATCATCACTCTGCATCAGCGTTCCTCCAGCCTGAGCACAACAGCCCTAAACACACTTGAGGAAATGCAGAAACACTGAGCTGCATCCAGACAGACGGAGAGGCTGACCCACACTCACCACACTACACTACACTGATTCCAGATCAGCACATGGGCTCAGCACTACTGCGGTAAACCTGTGACAAGCAGCACAATACAGAGTCACATCCACAAACACCAGCCAACACTGCACTGTGCCAAGAGGAAGCCCTATGTTAACAGTGTCCAGAAGCGGCGTCCACTTCTCTGGGCTCGTGGAGACGTGTACTGTGGTCAGTTAAAGCACTGTTTCACGTGTTTTGGGAGAAATGGACACCGCGTGCTCCGGATCAAAGAAGAAAAGGATCATCCAGACTGTGTCCAGCAACAACCCCAGAAGCCCAGCTCTGTCGTGGTCTGGGGTGTGTCAGCACTCTTGGCCACTAATCATTGATGCTGAGCAGTACAGAGAGATTCTGGAGCACAATATGCTGTCTTCTTTTTCAGGGAGGCCCATGCATATTTTAATATGATGATGATGATGATCAGCCTCAGGACAGCAGCGCCGGTGCTTCACACACACCTGTGCAGGTAGAGGAGAGAGACTAGAGTTACAGCCCTGCTCTTCAGCAGCAGTGGCCTGGGATTATTAATGAGCACAGAGAGCCAGAACCTTAATTAATGTCTCATCTGAAGGACGACGCTCACCGTCAGTACAGAGTCTCCTTCACTATACTGGGGCATCAGGACCAACACATCTAAATGAATCAAACCGTCTCTGTCAATGTGTGTAAAAGCGTCTGTAAGTTCACACA